GGAGCCAGAAGGACTGTTAGCTCTGTCTCTGTTTGTTAGATGCTAGGCTCATCTGATCTGAGTGCCATGAGCTATTGTAAGTTTTTGCAACTGCTAGCAAACTTTGAGTATTGAACTGATTACATGATTATGGAGTATGTTATTTGGATTATCTCTTAACTGAAAGACGTTGATGACTGACTGTCTTATCCATGTATGACTTGGACTGTTTGATGGACTCTGATACCTCTATTTCCACGAAGGTAAAAGCCTATTTAAACTGCAGTGTCTCTGAATGCTGGTTTATGTGTTCTCCAACACCACTCTCACAATGCTTCTCTGAACGTACTCGCTCTCCCAACGGGGAGCTTACCTAAGCTTACCAAGTGGCAAACAATCCCCCTGACCAGTCAATGTTACAAAGGACCAACTGATTTGTGCTTTTTTGTTACCTGTGGATAGCAACAGCAATTGCACACAGATTTATATATAGCTCCCTAGTGCTTTTATAGCCCTCTCTAAGCAATTTACAGAGCATATTTGGCCCCAACAATCTGGGTCCTCATTTTACCGACCTCAGAAGGATGGAAGGCCGAGTCAACCTTGAGCCGGTCAGGACTGAACTCCTGACTATCAGCAGAGTTTGCCTACAATACTGCCTTCTAGCCACTGGGCCACCTATATGGCTCCAATATCCAAAATCCAATAGCTTTAAATGAAATACAGACAGGCTTCAACTTATGACTGTTCGTTTGGAAACTGTTCAAAGTTACGATGGAGTTGAAAAAAAGTGACTTACGGCCATCCAGTCCTCACGCTTACAAGAGTGGCAGCATTCCCACTACGTGCCCAAATCATCATGATTTGGGCACTTGCCAACTGGCATGCATTTATGATGGCCGCAGTGTTCTGGTATTCTCCATATGTCCTTCCTAGCTAACTTCCAACAACCCAAGTGACTGAGGGAAGCCAAATTCACTTCATGACTGCGTGATTTTGCTTCACAGCAAAAATAACATAAAATTGGGTGCGGCCACATGATAGTTCATGGAATGACTGGTCAGCCATGGAAATTCTAACCCCAATTGTAGTCGTAAGTGGAGGACTACCCGCAAACACACCACCATATTAAAAAGGCGCCATACTTAAGAAGTAGAGGCAGTTTTGGAATTAGACCTGTTTTCAATTTAAGAGAGTACAAATGAAAAGGAAGTTTTAACTCACGCTTTAAAAGGAGCGTAGTCTTTCGAGAGCCTGATGAACAACTTGTGCTGTTCCCTCAGGGGTGTTTCCTTAAAGAAAGAGGCCGGCTTGTCGTAAAGGGTTATTGCTCTAGAACACAATAGGATGAACGGTCAAATAATATCAATAAAACTCAAAAGAGAGTAAGGGAACAAAAAGAATAATTTCAACTCATCAAAAATGTAAAAGACGTTATGTAAAATGATAGGTTAGCCCAAAGATATCCTGAGGCAAGAAGATATATGTATGTATGTATGTATGCATGTATGTATGTTGCATTTGTGCTGATAAATATTTGTGCATACCAGGGGTTGTGACACAATACATATACATATATATATATACACATACACATACACACACAAACACATATATATAGTGAAAGAGCTACTGTATTTTTCGCTCCATAAGACACAATCTTTTCCTGCCCCAAAAAGTGGGTGAAAATGCCTGTGCGTCTTATGGAGCGAATATTGTGTCACAGACTGGGCCACAGCGGTTTGCCTTACCAGGGAGGGGAGAGGGTTGGTGCAGCAGCAGCAACCAGCAACGGAGTGAATGGCGGCAGCGATCAACACCATCTGGAACAGCTGATTGGCGGTATTCCAGGAGACAATCCAACCGCCGAGCAGCAACTGCTGCTGCAATTCACCGCTGCTGCCTATTGCCGCTGCCAAACACCCCCGCCCCCCGGTACACCGCCGTTGCTACCTCCTTCGTGTCTGCTGCCTCTGTCGGGGAATGCTGAAGCCTTCGGCACCAAGCAGCTGCTCGGCAGTTGGATCGGCTCCCAGGATACTGCCGATCAGCTGTTCCAGGCGGTGGGGATTGCTGCTGCCATTCGCTACTGCTTCAGCACAGGCTCCAGAACTCCCCATGGAGGCAGCAAATGCAGGAAGCAGCAAAGGGAGTGTTTCCGGTCAGCCAGCCTGCTGATCAGGGAGGTCAGGATCCAGCATCGCTCAGCTGACTGGTGGTGGGCACAGTAGAGCGGAGCTCTGACAAGCCACATCATGGGGATGCGATAACGTGCTGAAGCTGACCAGGAAGTTTGCTGAAAGGACTCTAGCCAAGTGAATACCCAATGAACGCTCGGAGGCAGAGGCAGATTTTTTTTTTCTTGTTTTCCTCCTCTAAACCTAGGTGGATCTTATGGTCAGGTGCGTCTTATAGTGCAAACAATACGGCATCATATTTGCATGTTGACATATTAGAATGTCCCAAAGGTGCCTTTTTTTCAAGAGGCAACTGGACTTTCTGGTTTTTCTTTGACGGAGTTTTGCTTCTCATCCAAGAAGCTTCTTAATCTCTGGCCGGATGGTGGGGAATGGAAGGATTTATACTACAATGGAGGACTGAAAATCCCCATAGACATATTTGTTTGTCCTCTACAAACTGCATAGAGTCACTGTATACAATTTTAATAAACAAATAAAATAAACACTCAAATATGTCTATGGATAGGGTTAGGAATATTCAGAAATATCCAGAATGGATGAAATTATATTAAGACTATCTGGACATTAAGAAATATCCAGAATGAAATATTTGTGCATCGCATGATACTGTTCTCAATTACCATGTACACTGATGTATGTACCAATATAAAAATAACACTCAGAATATTTGGCTAAGATACTAAAACAAAAAAAAATACAAGGCCATAAAGATATACATTCATAAATATATTTGCTCTACTTGAAAGAATTCATAAGTCATAAATTATACATCAGCTTATTCTGCTGAAGAAAATGCTAATGATTCTAGGGAGCAGAAACCAGTCCTGCCAGAGGTATGATGGGAAAAGCTTGAGCCTAAAAAATAGGGAATCTGCATTGGAGTTGATGCGTCTGCTTAAATGTTTATAAATCCAACCATCAATATATATAAAAACAGCTGTGTGTGTGTGTGTGTGTGTGTTTGTGTGTGTGTTCCAGCATAACTCTGGAACACTTCGAGCAATTTCAACCAAACTTGGTACACAGATGACTTACTCTCTGGAAAAAAAATACTGTGGGGATAAGACACCCCTAACACCTCTTGAGGTGAGTGTTCTGTTAAGATACAGCCTGTTGTGCCTTAAATGGCTTCTACTGTGCAGCACAGTGTAGTTGCCATGGTAATAGCTTCACAGTACTCCACAAGGGGGCTCCCTCTGGTAAGGGGAAAAATCCAACATTAGAAGTTACATTTGGTCCAGATATTTTCCCCCTATAAATAAATACCCCAGGCAATGGCGGGTTATCAACTAGTTTATTATAAGATAGCGGTGAAAATAGATTTCATTTTCAGCAACACTTTGAACAATGGCTTAGATACTGGGAAGTATTTTTTAAAAAAAAACAACAAAATAGCCTCATAATAAATAGGATCAGATAGGTCTACAGCATTGTTGTAACCAAGGAAAAACAGAAGTGAATTCCAATTAATTTTTAAACTATGAAATACCTGATATTACAGTTCGTTTGAAGATCCTCTTTCATTGCATTGGTCACACAAATATTATACCTGGACAAGGAGCCAAATAATTCTTCATACCTAAAAGAAATGAAAATGTAATTTGCCACTGAAATTAATAATTTCATTGAGATGTTTGTACACAGGTTCCCCCCCCCCCCGTTTCTTTTAAAAGATGAAATAGAAATGAGAGCAAATGTTACAGGGCTCCAAATACTAGTATCTATCTTTGATTTTATGTCTCAATACAGTACTTCTAAAACACAGAAATACCATTTATGTCTGTAATCACTTTGTATTCTGCATCACTCAATATTGTTATTCAAATAATAATAATCTTCGTAACACAGAAATGCACAATTCTTAGAGAAAAGAATGCACAATGAAAAATTACAATTTACCAATAATGGTAGTGTATGTGAAAGGAATACAGGAAGTGAAGGAGCACCTCAGCAGAGTTAGTCTTGTGTACACTTCAAAAATAATTTGGAAAAAGACAGCATTATAGCCTCACACAAGGCAAATGTTTCTCTACTATTGATTGAAACAGGTCTTTCATTTCACATATTATCTTCACTCTCAGACAGAATTTAATAATTTGGGACATCCTTATTTTCTTGAACTACAGACAAGAAAGTTGGCATCTGGACAAAACAAATGCAACATTTTATTGCTAAGAAATTTGCCCTTTCAATAAGTTGGAAAGCTAAATAATATCCAGTTATTCAATTTTTCATTCATGAATAAAACTTCAGTTACTCAGGCCTGAGATTGTATGCAGCTTAAGAACTTACTGCTTACAAAAATGTATAAAGATAGATCTGCTAAATGCTGGAAGTATAATCAATTCTCCGGTTCATGTATGTTGTGGACCTGCCCAAAATCCAAAAAATATTGCTTGAAACTACATACATGGTTGGAAGAAAATGATAAAGCAACACACAGACTTGGAACCAAGAGATATTTTCGTTGGGCATTATGCTAGAAAAATATGACAAAAAGGCTACGTATCTGGTTTTACCATATACTAAATGCAACCAGAATTGTATTTACGCAGCAATAGAAAAACGATGAGATTCCATCAGATGAGAATGTAATTAAGAAAATATTAGAATGTGCAGAAATGGATACATTAACACTCACTCTTAAGGATAAAGAAGAACTGAATATTTTTTGATATGGGATGTATTTTATCAATAACTAGACAATAGAAACAGAAGTCAGAAAAGAGGAGACATAAAAAGAGGAAATATCAATGTGGAGAGTTGAAAAAGAAGATATTAAGTATTATTGTTATTATATTATAAATTTTATTGTGATGAATACTACATCAAATATGTGGCTTATGATTGTTTAAAAATAACTGTACCCAGATCACACAGTTCAATGGAAATTGAATGTTATATAAATAAAATAGATAAAATAAGGGAGGGGAGAACTTACTGCTTACAGATGAAAATTATGTAAAGGGAATCCTTCACTTACAGCCACTAATGGGACTAGAATTGCTGTTGCTAAGCAAGGTGATGATTAAATGAGTCATGTCCAAACCTCTCTTTTTTGCCATGGTTAAGCAAATCACTACATATGAAGAACAGTTGCAGGAATTGGGTATGTCTAATGTAGTAGAAAGACGGCCCAGGGGAGACATGAAAGCAGCATTCCAGTATTAAAGGGCTGCCATAAAGAAGAGGAGACCATGTATTATCCAAAGCACCAGAAGGGCAGGAAAAGAAACAATGGATGGAAACTAATCAAAGAGTGAAGCAACCCGGAATTAAGGGGGAACTGCCTAACAGTCAGGACAATTAACAAGTGGAACAGCTTGCCACAAGATATTGTGGGTACCCCATCACTGGAGGTTTTTAACAACAGACTGGACAGTCACTTCTCTGAAATGGTATAAGGTCTCCTGTTTGAGCAGGGGGCTGGACTAGAAGACCTCAAAGATCCCTTCCAGCTCTATTCTGATTGACTGAATCACACTTCTTAAGCGAATCTGTCTCATGACAAGGGAAGGTCACAAATGGTGACCACATGACCCTCAGATGCTAAAATTGTTGTACATGTTTGTTGCCAAGCACCTGAGTATTGATCCCGTGACCATGGTCATAAGTATGAGGACTTGTCATACTTCACTTTTTTTCAGTGCCATCGCAACTTCAAATAGTTGGTAAGTGAATGGTTGTAACAGACTACCTCTATGCAGTAATCTTTCCTTGAAAATACCTCATTCCTAATCTAAAGTATCTAATTCTATCTAGATCGAATTTTGTTGCAGCTGTTTTCCTTCCTTTTTCCTTTTTCTATGGTTTTGATTTTGCTTTCTCTTTCTGTCTCTTTTTCTCTCTTGTAAAAATAAAGACAGAGAAATCTTTGTTTTATATCTTCCCTGAAAACCAGGCGTGAAAAAATTGTGCAGCATTAAGAATTCTACTAACTTTAACTGGGATGACTTCTTGATGCCACAGTAACTTTTTTTCAGGCTCCTGCAGAAACCTGAAAATAGAAAAGGGCAGCTTTAATCAAAAGCGAAGGAGGCATTGCCCATGCAATCTATTTCTTATACGTCACCAAGTCACTTTGAACCGCATGATGGGTGGCATATAAATTTTAAAAATCTTAAAATCAGTGAGTTATTCTCAAAGCAGTCCTCTTAGTCAGATCATAAGCCATTGCTTTTCAGCTACCAAAATGCATGCTGTTATGAATGTGGAAGCAACTTTCAGAAGTACAGATAGGTGTAAGCATGCAGCAATACCCTTTCTGAAACTCTTTACACTAGGAAGTACAGATAGATAGTGTCAGGCCTGCAGCCATATTCCTTTTGGATCTTTGGCTGCCACACTTTCTATTATTCTACTATGCCTTTTTCTATTGTGGGAAAATGGGAGGGGGGGTTAGATGCGATGTAGCCATAACAAAATCCTTCCTAGAAAGCCAAGGTCATCTGTCTCTGCACCTCTGCACCTGACCAGAACTGGAGGGGTGGAAAATTGGACCATGTGATGGACTTGTGGGTGTGGGGGCAAGATCTTGAACTTTCAACTGGGTGGGGAAAACCAGGAAGGTTTCAGATTCGTGTTTCCCCAGATGTGCCAACATGGCTCTCTTAATAAATTGGAACTTTGAGCAATCCTTTGCCTTGGACTCTGATTTACTTTTGGATGCTATTTGGAACCCTGATAGATTGTCCTCGACTTACAACAGTTTGTTTAGCGAACGTTAGAGAAGTTATAACAGCACCGGAAAAATGATCTTATGACTGTTTTTCAAACTTTCAACCGTTGCAGCACTTCCGTGATCACATGATCAATGCTTGGCCAACTGACTCATATTTATGACGGTTGCAGTGTCCCCAGGATCATGTGATCACCCTTTGGAGACTTTCTGACAAGCAAAGTCGATGGTGAAGTCGGATTCATTTAAACTGCAGTACTAACTTAACAACTGCAGCGATTCACTTAGCAGCTGAAGAAGAGTCATAAAACGGGACAAAACCCCTTTAACAATAGCAAGAGCACATAGACTTATATACCGCTTCATAGTGTAAGTGGTTCACAGAGTCAGCCTCTTGCCCCCAACAATCTGGGTACTCATTTTACCGACCTCGGAAAGATGGAAGGCTGAGTTGACCTTGAGCTGGTTAGGATCGAACTGCTGGCACTTGGCAGAGTCAGCCTGAAAATACTGCATTCTAACCGCTGTGCCAGTTCCTTTTAACATTTAACAACTAACTCGCTTAGCAACAGAAATGTTGGGCTCAATTGTGGGTCGTAAGTTGAGGATTACCTCTTTGATGAGTTTTTAAAACCCTAGTGGAGCTGGTGGGAACAGATAAGAGACCTACCTGGGCACCGTGCAGTGTTCTGAGAAGAAAACAGATTTCATTGGGTAACATTGCAGTAGCCAACCATACCCCAAAAGTATCAAAAGTCTTGAACGCACCATTTAGCAATCCGGACTATGGGGTGTCTTTTCCCGTGAGTCAGGCCCATTAGAGTATACCCATAATTGTGCCAATCAATTATTAGCTTGCTGTTTCGAAGCAGGCAAAAAATCCAGCTGACTGCAATGCTGGGCAAACCAGGCGGATTCTGGTTATGGAGAGAAGAGAAGAGGTTTCAGAACAATCCCAGTAAATAAGATCAATTGCTTTCTAGCTTCTCCACCCAAACACCCTCTCCTTATTTTATTTATTTATTTTAACAAAGAGGATTAGGGGACTGGAGGCTAAAACATATGAGGAACGGTTGCAGGAACTGGGAATGTCTAGTTTAATGAAAAGAAGGACTAGGGGAGACATGATAGCAGTCTTCCAATATCTCAGGGGTTGCCACAAAGAAGAGGGAGTCAA